TAATCCCACAGTGGATCCAAAAATTGTTCGCCACCTTTAGTTTTCATTTTTGTCATCGACTGTGGCAGCTAGAACAAATTTATAGAAGGCCTATGGGCGTATCTTAATGTTTTTCCCGTTGGTTCTGCTGCTATGGAGCCTTTCATAAATTGAATGAAATCCATGAATAAATGTCGTAGAGCGCCGGGAGACGTCTCATTTTCTTCAGAAATGTTTACTCTGCATGACAGACGTATTTACAAAGGATTTCCGGATTAAACTCGGGGTCCCGGTTTTCTGAGATTTGGGTTTTCCAGAGACTCATATTTCAGGAGTTTTGATGGAACGCCTGTGTACATCATCTGAGATCGGAAATTCTTTCAGCTTTCAAATCTTTCTTCAAATTTGTTCTAGCTGCTACAGTCGACGACAAAAATGAAAACTAAAGGTGGCGAACAATTTTTGGATCCACTGTGGGATTAAGTGGCGAAGTATTTAATACACAAAAGCCACTGTCAAACTTCATTAAGTTTCCTATTAACAAATGTTGTAGAGCTTCTCAAGGCGCATCGAATGATGCATGAATGATTAGAGATCCTCTTTAGTTTCATAGAGAAAAGTGATCAAGAGTTCTTTTGGCATAGCCACGACCCATGGAAAAGTCTGGTATTGAACTCATAAAACCTGCTACCAGGCTTCGTTAAGTTTCCTATTAACAGATATTGCAGAACTTTTCAAGAGCCATTTTTCTATATCAAGCTTTACCAGAACTTTATATTAGATTTTGAGCAAAAGCGTTTTTGTTAAACACCGATATGCTTTATGTACCTACTCGGAAAAGTTGTTTTAAAGTCTTCATAATGTTATAATGGTCGATTTTGCAGTTCACAATGTGTAAAGTCGTTTTCTCTACAATATGTGACCATAACGAAGTCGAAAAAGCAGTGGGCCAAATGTGGAAAAGCGTCCCTCTCCTTTCTAATAATTAGACCAGAGGAAAAACGGTTTTTTGTAAACAAAACCTTTTTTAATCCAATCCGTGATACGCCACTGTATATATTTTTGAACATAAATGTGAGCAAGTAATATGTTTGATTCTATTACGGTTCTGTAAACTATTAACATGATTTGTACGAAAACAAAAGTCTTTAATATCATCTTGCCATAAATAATACTAAATTAGTCGAGTCTACTAAAAAAGCTCAGACATGTGTCACAGACAGTAAATAAGGATAAAATGATGCAGATCGTACAAAACCATTCACTGACTTGTTCAAAATACGTTTGCTCTTCATGCAAGTCACCCTATTAACTTTGCGGAAAACACTAAAACTACTCTCATCTCTTCAATTTACATGTTGCAGATTTACTTTTCATTTTTTTTATTTGCAACATTCAATAAAATTAGGGTGTCAAACTTTTCATATATTTATTTGTTTTCAATGAGAATAGGATTTAATACAAAATATGCTAAGATATTGAGGAAATAAAAAATTAAAAGAAGACAGATCGATATTTCCATTATTTATAATAAATACGCGTACTGAGACAGAAATATCATCGTACAAGAAAAAAATTTTTTGTAATTCGTTCGTTATTAATAGGTTGGACCAACTGTTGATGAATTTTTTGCCGGTAATGACCGTACTCCTCCCATTAACATTTTGAGTTCACCAATTGCTTTTGCTGGATTTAAACCCTAAAAAACACACAGAAACATGTCAATACGCTTTTCTATTTCGTATGATTATTCTTACCTTAGGACAAACTTTTGTACAATTCATAATCGTATGACAACGATAAAGTGAAAAAGTATCATGAAATTGACTTAAACGTTCTTCTGTATATTCATCGCGTGAATCAACTATCCATCTATAAAAAAACAAAAAACAACGGCAAATTCAAAGTATGAATTGGAAAGAATAACAAACAAACAGGAAAACATACTTATACGCTTGGAGTAAAATAGCAGGACCAAGATATTTGTCAGAATTCCACCAATAACTTGGACAAGATGTTGAACAACAAGCACATAAAATACATTCATATACGCCATCCTACAATAGTAAGTAAATATTTTTCTATTCAAATAAAATTACTATTTACAACAAAATACAAACTAATTTTCGACGATCTTCTTCGGTCTGAAATAATTGTTTATCGCCAATTTTTGTTGGTGTTTTGCGTTTCAAATATGGTTCAATCATTTTATACTGCATATAAAAATTTGAAAAATCCTATAATGAACATAAAATTTTAAATTATTTATTTCATTCTGAATATTTAATAAAACTTTACATTATTATTATTATTATTATCTTAAATTTCTTTCAACGGTAAGATAGAAATGAGATGAAATAAAATACTTAACAACCATAACTTACCGGCACAAGATCTTTAATAACATACATATGAGGCAATGGATATATTTTTGATGGTTTACTTGAATCATCGATTTTACTAAAAACAACAATAAAAAATGAATTGTAGCCATTCTCTCATTAAATTTCAATCTGTATCACACACACACACACCATATACACGCTAATGTGTTTCGTCCATCAATATTCATTGAACAACTTCCGCATATACCTAAAGGAAAAAAAGTACTTTTGAATTAAGCTAAATAATTCTTTCCCGCCTAGATGTACCTTCACGACAAGAACGACGAAACGCCAGTGTTGGATCATTTTCGTTCTTTATTTTAATAATTGCGTCCAGAACCATTGGCCCGCAACTTTAAATAAAATCAATTATAAATTTACTTAAAATAGATAATTTCAACATACTCGTTTAAATCAATATTGTAATCTTGTAAATATGGTTTCTTATTAGGTTCTTCAGGATTCTGAGTAGAAAAAAAATTCAACAAATAATTTATGTTTCATTCACTTTTATGTAGTATTTACCCAACGATAAATTGAAAATGTTTTCATTTTTGGTTTTTTTTCTCGAACTTGTCTAACCATAGAAGGTTTTTCAGTGTTTGTGTCAGCTTCAGGTGCTTTGTTTTTTGTAACAGGTGCGGCTGAAGTGGCAAGTGGACAAGTCTAAACAAAAATATTATGTAATCATTTATTTTATTTTATTAGTTTATTTTATGATTAACGCACTTGAAGGGCGAATAACTTTAAAACGCCAGCTCGAGAATTCGAAAGAACAATCGTGCGCAACATCTACAACAGAGAAACTTTAGTCAAATTGTTTAGGTAGGATAGCTGATGATTTGATCGTTTAGTGAGGACTTGAGTCAGAGTGATTGATACACTTTGCTTTTTAAGCCAGAATGCAAAAAGTGCAAAAGAAGAAAGAGACAAAGCTTATGGTCATTTTTTTCTGGTTAACAAAAACAGGTTCGATATCCTTCCCAATCAACCAAAAAAACTGCACAATTTTGGATCACACACTTAACTAATGGAATATGGAAGCAGAGTTAAGTTTTTTATCCGGTAATATTAGTGCAGTGAGCTAAAAAAAGAAGGAAAACTCAGTTTTCGAAAAAAGTTCTTTTACACAAGGAACAATTTTTCCAAAAAAACGTTATATGTTGGAAACTTAGAATATTGTCATACGAGAGTGTCAAAATTTTAGAAAGTTAGAAAAGTTTATCTTTATAAAATGTAAACAAATCATTATAAAAAAGTTTTACTATTGGTATGGGTCTAATGAAAATATTTTTTGTCCCAAACTTCTCCACCATATCTATTCAGTCAAATCTACAGCGATTTCGATTAGAGGAAAGGATGTGAAAAGTGCGTTACTTGGATTTTCTTTTACAGATTTATACGTTTAAAAACAAAATTACATGCAGAATGTAACAGAAATTCTACGCGTGCATTGAACGTGCAAAGTGTTACATTATGTCATTTATGATACGTGTGGATCACTCAGTTTCATGCGAGAGCAACGCGTTAACTAGTACTGGAGTTTCTGCAAGGGTACTCTGAAACTTCGCCATTCTCCAGATAATTGCGTCGAAACACTGCACGCTTAGATATGGACACCAGCGCCCTGCTGAATAAAGTCGACTTTTCTCACATCGTCGACGCAGAATGTGAGGAAATGTTAAGATATCCTCGGATTTCAAAATTCTCCATATGTTCCAACATTTTTAATCTGACGTAGCGTTGAGCAGTCATCTTTTTAACAGTCATTCGATTACAGATGTCAGAACATAGGATATATTCTGTTAACCGAAATCGAAAAGTCATCTCGAGAATATGAAGAACTCTATTCTTCTAATGTGTGCGATTGGTCATCCTGTCGTTATATGTATGAGTATGTTTTCTCTCGACTATTGTAAAATATCTTGATCATTCAATTGCTCATCGAGATAAGTTAGACGCAAAAGTCTATGAATAACTTAAAAGTGAAAAAAGATATTGATTGTATGGTACTTGGTGTTTAACTTTTGTGTTCGTTAATTTTACATCGATCTCTATCGACAGTGTAACTCCAGTTGTAAGCTTGACTTCTCTTTAGAAAGCATATGATGGCCACATGGACTCATCGTTACGTAATTATTGATGTACTTGTTTCATACAATGCTTTTATTTCGTAAGAAAATTTCTGAAATATTAGTTTATTCATGAAGATCGTCGTCATGACTTTTGAAATATGTAATAATGTCGTAAAGTCTCATTTTCATGAAACTATTGGCTCGTTTTCTTCATTAAAAAAAGAATCAGAACAGCTGAGAAAAAAATATCATTAAATATAAGGAATAAAAAAAGGTACTCCGGAGAAATAGACGAACGACAAATGCAAAGTATAAACGATATGCATACTTGTTCAATGATATTACGCCAGAGGTGATTGTGTTATCATATGAAACTTATCGCTCATATATTTATTAATTGTGGTTATTATTAGTCATAACGTAATGGAGGAGTGGAGCAAACCGATATTATCTGAAAGATTTCTATCATTAACAACCGTGTGAAAATAGTAATTTGTTGTTTTTTGATGGAATATTAATGAGAAAAAGGGTTTTCGAGAAAGAGAGTCTGTCACGCAGAAATATGAATATGTTCGACTATTCTCCAGTTTACTTTTTCAATTAGAATTCGTAAGTTTAGATTTTCAATTCTAGTATACTGTACTTAGCACTGTTTCTAACAGAATTTAGCCGCCGCTCTGTTTTTTTTTCGCACAGCGTGCACGTTTCAAATCTAAAAAAGAAAGCATCAATTAGGCATTAGGAATTAGAGGAGAAAAATAGAAACTTTCTTTATACAGTTTTTTTCCTAGAAAGCAACTTTGCGGATACAGACAATTACAAATAGAGAAAAATATCACTGGGGGGCGCATCACGAAAAAACTTAGGTCAAAGTCTAGACCACGCGTTGCTATTAGGGATGTTCGGTTCTCATGAAGAACGGGAACCGCGGTTCTTTCCGGTTTGGTTCTAACTCGAGAACCGAAACCGTCATTTCGGTTCCGGAACCGAGAATCAAACATCCCTAGTCGCTATTCTATTTACAGAAAATTATTCCAATTCTTGATAGAAGAAGCAAATCTAACGCCTATAATACACAGTTCTTGAGGAAGGTTTGTGTATTATCGAACGACTTTAGCATATAGAGGTTTATAATATTTGAAATATTATATTTCAGGTATACTTTTGCATATGAAGAATTCATAATATTTCACAGATCAGGAAAGATTAACTCAAAGGGGCCGCATCACAAAAGAACTTAAGTCAAAATTTGGACTTAAGTCTTCGTTATGTGCACTTACGTGCTAATTTTATACACTTAAGTCTAGACTTTGACTGTTTGACAGTTTGCAGGTGCTATTACGCAATTATTAATGGAATTTAGTTTAACCCACCTGGGTTTCCTTAATTTATCATCGTTTTCAAAATTTTTCATCATCTAAGTCCTGTTTTTCTTTTTTATACTACTCATCGTCCTCACTACTCATCTTTAGGTCTTCATCACTCTAAGTATGTTCGCATTCCATCTTCTGTTGATGGTTTTTCTCCGCAAACGGTGCATCCTTCTTTTTTTTATTCAACTATTGCTGATTGGAATAATCTCCCAGAGTCAGTTATTCTTCATTCTTTAACGTCTTTCAAAACAGCTTTATTTCAGTATCTCTTCCAGAGAAACGTTTGCCAGTTAAGAATTTATATTTGTTCTTTTTTGCTTATTTTTTTAAAAATTTTTTTTTACTAGTTCTGGTTCTAACCTTAGTTATCTTCTTTATTTTTTTTATTACTCTTTTGGTGTTATTTAACTTGAGTCATTATTATTATAGGTTGGTGACTTTGTTGATTTACTTTTCGTGAATAAAACAGTTTTAGTCTTGATATGTCATCTTACTAATTTTTCTATAAAATTTCGCAATATTTCACTATTTTCAGATTATTAATACCGACCTTTTGTGCCATATCGTTGATGTATACATGAGAGAAATATTTTTCTATTTCATCAATTTGAACTTGTGGTACGATATGAATACAGTTGATGACAATGGCTAATAGCGAGGTAAGCAGTCACTTTTGTATAACTCTCAGTTTACAGTTAGTTATTTTTATACTAACCTCCGAACAATCTTTAATGATATGATGACTTATGCAACTGCACGAAGGATTCTCTGTTGTTTGTACTATTATTATTCACTCAAAACAAAAAAATTGGAACTTCACATTTTTATTAGTCGCTGTAGTTATGAGAAAAATGAGTTCATTCTAACATTTAACATTTATTGCTTAATCTGTTATGTTTTTTAACTTTATTTACATATTTTTTTATGACGAAAAAGCATTTAAAAACTTTTGGATCATATTCTTGTTATCTATTCTAATGCTCGGTTTATACTAAGTATGGCTTCTTGCTACTGTGAAAGATTGATTTTTACATTTATCTCATAATGCAGTTATTTGTTCATAAGTTGTATTTCTTTTAGAATGTTAAGAAAAATGTGTGTGCGTGTCAGAAGCAGTAAATTTGAAAGTAGTTTAGGTTGTATTATTCTCTATTATAGACTTCGCCAAGTGATTGTAAAACAATTCCGTGGTTGTTCTTTCGACGTCGATGTAAAAAATTTATAGCAACACAACAAGAGCCATCACGGTAACATCGACTTAAGAATACTGTATTTATCGCGCCAATTGCTCTTCTATTTATAGATGTTATTGTGGACGTACAGAAGAAGAACATTTTGATAAAGCTAACTCACCGTTAAGAATTCCAGCTAAAGCAATCAAATCGATTCAACCAAAATCAAATTACAATAATCTCTATATAAATAGTCATGATCAAGATGAACACGATCTTGAAAAATGGAATGTATCAAGACATACGACACTTTATCCAACTAATGCATTTGGAACAATTGAATTCGAGGGTACTACTCATCTAGCCAAGGTATGTCAATTAAAAATAACCAAAAGGAATATTTTCGATATTTTCGTTTTAGGCTGAATATATTCGCTTGGCGTATGATACGAATCCATCCCAAATTGTACATCTTTTCAATAAATACTGGCGTTTGCAATTACCGAATTTAATTGTTTCAATTCACGGAGGAATACAAAATTTTGATTTACAACCACGTCTTCGACAAGTCTTGAAAACCGGTCTATTGAAAGCGGCTAATACAACTGGAGCCTGGATACTTACAAATGGGACAAATACCGGTGAGATAATGAAAAGTTTCAAAATAAATCCCTATAATACTATAATATTGTTTTTAGGTACTGTTCGACATGTTGGTGATGCTCTGTTTGTAAAATCAAGAACTCGTTCAAAAATTGTTGTGATTGGAATTGCTCCTTGGGGTGTAGTAGAAGGTCGTGAACAATTAAAAGGAGAAAATGTAAGTGTTTATATTTATCTATGAAAAACAAAACAAAGAATACTATTAATCGTAATTTATTTAGAAAACAGTATCGTATCATTGCAGTGCTGCTGTTACCGGTGAAAATAATGCAACATTGAACAGTTCACATAGTTGTTTTTTATTGGTTGACAATGGTACAGTGGGAAAATATGGTGGAGAAATCGTTTTACGCAAACGATTGGAAAAATATTTATCACAGCAAAAGATTGCCTTTCATGGTAATGATTTTTAAAAATTTTATATCTCGTCTTAAAAAAATCTTATGACTATTTTTTAGGTCATTCGAGTAAACAAAATATTCCTGTTGTTTGTGTGATCGTAGAAGGTGGAACAAATACAATTCGCACAGTATTAGAATATGTTACAGAAGAGCCACCTGTACCAGTTGTCGTTTGTGATGGAAGTGGTCGAGCGGCCGATCTTATCTCATTTACTTATAGACATGCAGAAGCAGATGGGTAAGGAATCTAGTTTTATTAGATTAAATGGATAATATAGTTTACCAGTTTTCGTCAAATATCGATATAAATACACGCTAGAATTGCTATATATAAAGAAGTTTTTGATTTTGTTGTCTTGTTCGACCGGTTTATCAACAGTAGTTAATGGATTTCTATGTATTTGTTTTTAGTACAATGTCAGTTGATTTACAAGATCAATTATTACGAGTGATAATGAAAGTGTTTTCTTATAATCGTCGTCAAGCGGAAAATGTTTACGTAGAATTAATGTTGTGTATGAGAAAAAAAGAATATATAACGATTTTTCGAATTGACGATGATGATAGTGCAGGACAAGAAATTGATCAAGCCATTCTACGTACATTATTAAGGTAAATATAGATTTTCAAAATAAAACGATTGCAAAATATAGATTTTTTCTTCTAGAAATCATAAAGCAAGTGCCTTAGAACAATTTCGATTGATTTTATCGTGGAATAGGCCGGATATTGCTCAAACATGTTTATTAACTAAACGAAATGAGTGGGTACAAGAAAATTTAGAAACAGCTATGTTTGAAGCATTATCAGAAGATAAAGTTGAATATGTCAAACTACTATTAGAAAATGGTGTATCGATGCAAAAATTTTTAACATTTGATCGGTTACAAGCATTGTACAATAATAAATGTGGTACAACAACAAATACATTGGACTTAATTATTAAAGATCTGAGACGACATCATGGACGAAAAACATATTCACTTTTTGATATTGGTCTTGTTATTGAAAAATTAATGGGTCAAGGTATATATCTAATTTGTATTTAAAAATATTTTTATAGTAACATTATAGTCTTCATTTTTCTTTTTAAGGTTATCGTTCCGCTTACACTCGTCGAACATTTCGTCATTTGTGTGCACGTCAAGCTTCTCGCTATCGTCAAAATCATGATACGAATCTGGATATTGACTCAAAACAAAATCCACAAACATCGACATCAAATATAATACCTCGATCGGATGATATACCGATGACATCAACAAAAAAAGTAGCATGTGATAATCCAACATTCGACTCTCCGTACAATGATCTATTAATATGGGCTGTATTGAATAAACGTCATTCAATGGCTTTGTTTTGTTGGGAAAATGGTGAGGATGGTTTGGCTAAAGCTCTTATGGCTTGTCGTCTGAATAAATCGCTTGCTCGTGAAGCAGAAGATGACGAATTAGATACAGAGATTGCCGAAGAATTTTTGTTACATGCAGAAGATTTTCAACAAAGAGCATTAGCTTTGTTAGATCAATGTTACAAAGAGAATACTGATAAAGCTGGTCAATTATTAACATATGAATTATATGATAAGAACTTTAGTGACTTGAATTGTTTAGATTTAGCTGTATTAGCTTATAGTCGAGACTTTGTAGCACATAAATCTTGTCAACAGTTATTATCTGATTTGTGGATTGGAGGTAAGCGTCTTCTTTTAAATAAGTTTTCGTCATTATTTATTTACTTAAATTTTCTTTGTATAGGAATGAATGTGAGAAAATATTTAAAATGGATGGTACTATTAGCATTATTTTGTCCATTATTTATCTTCTTAATTGATTTTAAGTCACCTAGAGAATTAGAAAAAATGCCACAGACTGAGGAAGAAGCATATCTTGAAGAGCAAAATGAAATGAGTGATAGTGATGATTCGGTGAGTGATGATAGCGATGATAGTGAAAACAGTGATTTACACGAATTGCATGAAAGTACAATTGATGACGATGAACATAGTGCTGATGATGATCGAAAAAAGAAAAGAAAAAAAAAGAAAAAAAGAAGGAAGAGAAATAGTAACAGTATACATAATGATGAACATTCAGCGAGTAAAACTGAGGACGTGACTCTATTAGTAGCTGGCCAAAAGAATGAGGCAAATATCATCACTGATATAATAACAACAACAATTACGGAACCAACGGGAGCAACAATGATTACTGTTGATGATAATAAAATTGGAAGCAGCAAATCTAAAAATCGCCGATGTTTGAATTTAATACAAAATTGGATTAATCAGTCAATATTCTATCGATTTTTTCGTCTGTTGTATAATCGTTTTCAAAAATTATTTAAACGTTACGGCTGTTGGCGAAAAATAAGAACAATTAACACATTGAGATATACCAACTCAATAGGTGATGCTCAACCGTGTGTACTATATGGTAAGATGAATTTTCTTTCACAGTATATCGTATGTTTCACCCAAAAATTCTTGATCCTCGTCCGATAACAAAGGAATACAATTCTACACTAAAAAGAATAGCCTGCTGAATCTGAAACGGGTGTAAAGGTGTGTATGTAATCTCTTTTTCTATTTTTATCGTAGAAATGAATGAAAAACAGAACAATTTATTGATCAATAATGCTGATTTACCAATTATGAAAAAAATTTATGAATTCTATAACGCTCCGGTGACAAAATTTTTTCAAGATTTAATATTTTTTCTATTATTCCTAGCCCACTTTACCTATGTTATTCTAATCCGTACACCGCCTAAACCATCGGTAGTAGAATGGTTAATAATGTGTTATTTATCCACTATGGCATTAGATCAAATTCGTGAAATTCTAACAATGAATGCAACTCCATGGAGAATTCGTTTGAGGGTTTATTTTATTGATTATTTACATTTGTATGATACATTTGGTATTTTGATATTTGCATTAGCATTTAGTTTACGTCTGACAGTTGATCTACGTGTTATTGGACGATTATTACTTTGCGTTAATTTGAGTTATTGGTATTTGAGAATGTTTCATTTTCTCGTTGTTTCAAAAGAAGTTGGTCCTTATATTCATATAGCCGCAAGAAATGTAAAGACGAAAAGAAAAGTATACTGTTACAATGTACATCTTTCTGTATCTTTCTTTCAGATTATTGATCTGTTACGTTTAATTGTAATTGTTATTATTGTATTAATGTCATTTGGTGTTTCGAGACAAGCCATAAAATATCCTAATGAAGGATTCACTTGGCATTTAGTGAAAGAAATATTTCTAGAACCGTATTTTATGATTTATGGAGAAGTATATGCAGACAAAATTGATGCACCATGCAATCGCACTGATGATCCGTCCAATCCATCGTGCATGCCGGGACATTGGATTACACCAATCACAATGACTGTATTTTTACTCGTTTGTAATATTCTACTATTATCAATGTTAATGGTAAAAATATCTAACATGTTTTAGTGCATATAGTTATCATTTTTTGTTTTTCTCGCTTGTTTTAGGCAAAATTTAATGCTACATTTTTAAGATTAAGTCGATTATCCGATCAGGTGTGGAAGTTTCAACGTTATCATACTGTTATGCAATATGAATCTAAGCCAAAACTTGCTCCGCCTATTATCATCTTTTCACACATTTATTTACTAGTTGAAACACTTTATCGTATATGTAGGCATAGAAAACGAACATTTGATAGAGGATTGAGTAAGCTGACTTTCGTTTATTCTGTTCTTTTATTATTATTAAATATTATTTCGTTTAGAGTTATTTTTAAATGCCGACGATATTGAAAAACTACGCGACTTTGAAGAAGAATGTGTACATGAATATTTGACTTTGAAAGAAGAACGAGAGAAAGGCACTGTCGAAGAAAAAATGTCATTTACTATCGATAAGTAAGTGAGACGATTTAACAATGTGAGCAATGATGGTTATTTTAGGTCATACTTATGTTTAGAGTCTCAAATATGCTAACTCGAGTTGATACAATAAAACAAAGTGAAACACAACAAACTTCGTATTTACAAAGTTTTGATGAACGCTTACAACGTTTAGAAGACATACATACTTCAACCTTGACTTTGCTTCAAACATTGATTCAAAATTTGAATCAAAATCAACGACCATTGTCGCCTACAACACCAACACGGATTTTACAATCGCCCTCATTACAGAGCATTTATCCAGAACAATCAGCAATAGATGATCTCAAATTTGAGCCTGCTTCATCATCTGTATCATTGAATAACAATCAAACTACATCAGAAGAAAAAGCGCAAGCATTATCTCGACATCATGCAGCTCAAGGCAGAAGTTTCAGTTTAGCTCCGCGCTTAGATCCAGAAACACAAACTGATCTTTTAGCGGCATCAAGCTCGTGTAATTTATTCAATAAAAATGCATCGATAGCATATTCTCCACCAACTCCTGCTGTTATCACCACTACACAACACGATGAAATAATCAGTATCGTTCGAAATCCACTATTCTTATCTATGGATAAAACAGTATTAATGGTTCAACATTCTTCATCACATCAAGATGAACAAAATCCACAAGACGAAAAATTATATGAAGCGGAAGAAACAGAGCATAATATTATTGGAAAATTAATTAAAGAACGTGTCCGCACATTATCTACTGCCGTGGAAGAAATTGAGCGTACTCTCGAACGTGTTCCGCGTCGCAATAATGATGAAATTACTGAAACAAGTAGTAATAATACAGAAGATTATTTGGGTGAAGAAGAATTGTTACCGTCGATCATTGATTGGAATAAAGCAGCAAGTGGAATGGTAACACCATCACAAAGCGAAATTCAACATCACCATCAAGGTTCGTTGAACATATTATTCTACTATTGAACATTAACACTGTCCGCTAAAAGTAGAGTGCGATCAACTTTCAACTAGGTCGCAGTTTTTGAGGGAACTTCATATGTAATAACTAATAACTACTATTAGCTTCATTTTTTATAATTCATTTTTATGTACAATCTCTTATATTTTTAGGAGATGATTTATTTAATCCAACATCTAACAATAACGGTGAATATATACTGCAGATGGATGAATTAAATAGTGTACATTCTGCAGTTGAAGTTACCTCACTTTCGACATCATTAACACAACAACAAGACAATCCATGACCATCTCCAATTTGCATATGAATACAATTTTTTCTTGTTATAATCTACTTGTTTTTTTATTTGTATTTTATGTGTTTTGTATTTCTGCTTTTCTCTCGTTTTATTTGTTTATTTCTTTAAACGAATCGAGCCGGCTCAATTTGCGTCTCTGAACAAAATCTTCAGATTAATTTATTCAGATAACTCGTTCACTTTTTACATTTGAACAAATATGAGTAGTTATAATTCATGTTCCTTTTTCCTTTGACAAGATCATATTTTTTATCAAACATAATCTCGGTGCGGAGATGTTTGTCTTTTCTTTTCATACGACTGAATCTATTTTTGTTGACAGAGTTACTCGAACAGTTGTTGTTATGCTGTTTTTCTAATAATAATATTATAAAGACTATCGGCATTTTTGGTAACATTATTTTGAGCTCAAGCATGTTTGATCGTTTCCGAATAAATTTACTGTTTTTTTGCATTTCATGAAGAGATATGTTACTGTCATTGTTTTTTTTATTTTTCATCAATATTTTTTTTTCATAAAGAAGAAGTTTGTTAAAATGCGTCATATGTCTTTTAAAATCGTTTACATAACAAAAATAAAAATGTTCTCGTTGTTTGTTATATTTTAAAAATAAACACAAAAATTTAAGTCATAAAACTCTGTTTTTTTTTCACATGATTTCATAGTTTGTTCACAGCAATTAGGTATCTTCCAAGATTATACCACTGTTCAGAGTATATGTAAGATGAGAGTATTACTGGTTGTTTAGTTTGAAGACTGTGATGTATTGGTATGATATTTATATTTCAATCAATTTTACATTGTTTAAATACGGTACTGAGATTATACACAAGCAGAATATTGTGTTTTACAAAATATTCAGAGTTCAACAAATTTTTATTTACTACTATCTATTTACTGTTGTTTAACGCGTAATATAAAAGTTCGTGCAGTGAAAATGAAATGAATACATGTTTATGCTCTTTCTAATGAACTGAAAGACATTCAGATTCTCGCGTATTCTGGTTCAAAAATCGTTGATCTTGATTAACTATTAAATTGCAATTAAAAAAACTACTTATTTTTCAAACTTCTCTATTAATTTATTTAGCATTTAAGTCACTAGAAGCTGATACGTGGGTTTTTATTTTATATAGTGGTCAGTCGACAACAATCAGCTTTTAGGATACATCAATGTTTCCAAGCAAATACTTCGGTTATTCGACACAAAACATATTTTGTCAGACATTTTGTCGTTCTACTGAAACTAATGTTCCGATTGTTAGAATAACGTATTGAAATATAGTTTTTCAAGCATTTGCTCTTTTTCAAAATTACTCTTTTGGCTTTTTGAAACAAGTTTTATTTCAAGTCTATAGTCATAAAATTCAATTTTTTGTGATGATTCTTTTTACCACTACCTGTTTTTGAATAATTGCGTACTAAATATTTCGCTTCGCATCTATATTTGCAGTATTTCGGATAAAAAGTAAAACCTTATCTAAAATGTGTTCCACTGCTCGACGCAGACCCGTCCTACTGGTCACGATAAACAGAGATAGAAGAAGTGGTTAGTATAGCAATACCCTACATTCGATAGAGAAGCTGTTGAAAACAGTTTTCTAACTGTCATATTCGAATTCAGCAATCAAAATGATCCTGAAAAACTATTTTCTGCGTTATTTGGTATACCATTAGCGACATATATCTCCAGAAACTCTGGATCTTAAAAGCCGGAGATCTCACCGGAGGTCTATTCTTACGCGTTACATCCAGGATGACTAATATGTGAAAAATGTAGCATCTGGTGATAGTTTCTCTGTGATACTAAATTCGATCTAGCTGGAAGCACGCATCACTCCATGAATATCAATTTGCAGATTTTCGATACAACTAAAAAACTGAGCCGCATCTCCTCGCTTTCGCCATAGGTCGATGTAAAGGCGATATATTTCAGACGGACGTACTGAGCAGGAACTTTTCTATCATCTATTACAACAAGAGAAAAGATATTTTCAAAAGTTTATTACATGCTCGGAAGTTCCAAGTTGTTTTGACAGTTAAATTAATCCGAATTAATTTAAACGACGAGTTTATTTTTAAATAATTTAACTGAAAATCTACCATCAAATTGATGTAAACTACTTTTTATTAGATCAATTTAAAAAAATTTGCAGATAGTAGTTCATTTAAATCAACTTTTGATTTTAATTTAGTTTATACTGGTTGTAAAAAAATAATTTTCATTTAACTATTCGATAATAATAATCAATTTAAAGTCATTTGGAATCTCAAATTAGTTTGAACTAACTTTAACACGATATATTTGAATAACTTATTTTACACGCCTTTCAGCTCGTTAAAATGCAAAGTCGTTCGAACGTGTTACAAATATTTGAATGTGAAACTCGTTCAAACGTGTACTCTATCAATTTTTGACATATATTCATGCGTTCGAGAGCGTTTAGAATAAATTTATGGATCTATTGGGTTTAATACTCTTTAATACATGCGTTATATTTATCTCATGAGCAACAGAATTTATTGCATAAGCAGAACAAAAGACAGAGAAAAGGTATGAATACACATAATGCTATGTATATTCATTAAATGTTGGATACCGAAATAAAACAAAGAATACAGTAATGGATTACAAAAGACTAGATGGTTCATCAAACCTTTAACTATACGAAATAACTTCACAGGCGTTCGAGTGATCTATTGACACGCTCTGACATGTTAGAGTATACAATAAACGTATCAGAACCATTTTATAGCAAAATTTTATACCTGACCAGTCCTAACGCTTCTGAAGGAGAAAAAAAATATGCAGAAGTAAATGACAAACACGTTCGTTTCAATAATTTCAAAACTAACGCGTTTGAACACGTTAAAAACAATGAGTCGTCGACTAAATTGTGTTTTTTCCTCTCGGACTATGTTGGAGCCGCCTCCAACCTTAAAAGAGGATTTATCACAGGCTTTGAATATCTCACACCATACTAAAACTCAATATGCAGTTCCACGTAGGATCATGAAATTCCTTGTAGCGTGCTTATTTATTGCAAAAAGAACCAAGTAGACTTCGCCCTAGTCGAGACTCCCGACAAAACTCCCACGAGACTCTTGTCACGGGATCCTGCGGGAGTCAGATGGGATTCTGAGGATTTTCGTTGAACTCCCGCAGGACTCAAAAGTCCTCAAAGTCAGGAGTTCCTTGAAAGCCCCATCTGGCTCCCGCAGGACCTTGTGACAGGAGTCCCGTGGGAGTTTTGTCGAGAGTCTCGACTAGGGATAAATATCTGGCAGGTAGAACAGGTTAAAGTCTAAACGAGCTTGAACGGACTTCCAGAACGCATTAGAGTGCGATGAAATTGTTCAAATCAACTTGTTCCAACACGTTCCTTACTGTAACGTGAACGTGTACACAGCATGTTCCCACGTGTTTAGAAAGATTGATCAACTTTGATAGAATTTTAACTGGAACGCGTTCGAACAAGTTGATTTGGCCGATTTCATCGCGTTGTAACACGTTAGAATATAAACGCAATTGTAACAGCAGCTATTTTAAGAACTTAAAATAGCTGCTGTTACAATTGCGTTTATATTAAAATTATTACCCGTTAACAAATTTAATATTACATTAGAAAGTAATTTTCTGTCACTCTTTTCCCGGTTCTAATATGTTCGACTATTCGCACACGTTCCAAGGTACTTTTCTAGTTTTCAAAATTGGCGAATGTGCAGATGAACATGTTCACACACGTTGGAGAGTTGTCTAACTCGTTCCAATATGTTGCTTAAAATTTTTTGAATGCACTCTCTCTCCTTCTTCTGGCTAAATTGATTTTAATCAACGTTGATTCGATTTCGTTTTGATTTATTCTTAAACTAAGTTAATTCAAATTAGTTTCTTAATGTTCCTGATATTTTTTCAGATAACGTAAAAAGATCTAAAGTAGAGGGCTACTATAATATTTAAAGGCTAAGCTTTCCGAAGTAATTTCTTGCGAGGTTAATCAAATAAATCAAAATGATTCGAATCAGTGTTGATTTAAATCAATTTAGTCGGAAATTGATATACTAAAATAGTTGCTTGTACAATAAGTCAGAGTAATGTCTCTAGAATGTAAGCCGGCGAAGAAACTAGATGTTATTCTAAAAAAGTAGTGCTATCAGTACTAAGCTAGTTTCTGTCGCTTACGGCCATACCACGTTGAATGCACCAGTTCTCGTCCGATCACTGAAGTTAAGCAACGTCGGGCTCGGTTAGTACTAGGATGGGTGACCGCCTTGGAATACCGAGTGTCGTAAGCTTTTTTCTCCATTCTCATATAATATGGAATATTTCTCATCTTTTACATTCAGAAACATCTGAGTTGAAGAAATACAAACACTAGAGGCCAACTACTCTTCGAGAAGATTGGAAAGTCGACTGAGTGTCTACTGTAGCTTTTATCATATCAACCATTTTAGCATATATTCACTATGAAGGATATCACGTGCCAATTAATTATCTCATACAGAAAACGGCAAAGTTCTTCAAAAAGATATGCTCATCTTCCGAGACTAATGACAGGTGAACTAAAGTATACACAGAAAAATTAATTTCAGATATGTCATCTACAACCGTTGTAGATATGACTGATCTTTGTTCCGAAGCTCTACGATCAACTGTAACTTAGAACGAGTAGCTGAATCGAACTAGAAAAGCGGTATGAAAATAAATAAAAAAAGAAGAATTTTACTAGGCAACGCTCGAAGTGAAAAACAATAAGTTTCCCGACTTAAATAGGTACTGGGTCAGCATTTTACAACAAACAGCTGAGAGTCATCTTTTCTAGCAAAAACTAAAACAGTAAGGTCGACAGTTTGCCGCATTTTCCATGCCACTAAGTAGAAAACTAGACAAGGAAAAGTAAACAAACAGTTGATATTGAAACAAGTCTAAATTGTCACTCCATACTCATTGACTGGGTACAATCATAGTAACTGCTGCCTCCGATCG